ACATGGTCAGTGAAGATCCTCTGAGAACATAAGGCCTTACATGGACTCCCTGAAGAAAGGTTCTGAGTGACATCACTGTAAAATCACAGTAACTGATGTGGGCACAATCAGACACAGGTAACTGGCAATATTTTGAGATGTGAAACACCGTGTACCCAGGAATCAACCACCTTCTGCGTGGCCATGTGTCTTCCAAACCTGGACAGATATGTTTATGTATAATCAACCAGTTCAAAGTCCCCTGTAGCAAGAGGCAGTGCTTTGTTGTAAAACAAAACTGAGATGAAATAACTGTTATCCTTTCAAATATCCTCTGAGAGTTCAGTATTTGAGGCACATTCTGTGATGTACTTCTCTCTGACCTCAAACACTTTGATTCTTTTTTTCAAGTTCACATAAAAGAGAAAAAGCTCTCAGATTGGTCTACTGTACCGAAAGCCTCAACTGGATCTGAATTCTTTGTTAGTGCAGAGAATTAGTTGTTATTCCAGATAGTCAGGAAGCGGAGATGAAGGCCATTACATTAGAGAGGCCCAGCCCTCTGGGAAGTTGGGCCATCTCGCTCCTTATTTAAAAACAGATGGGTTCCCACTGTTCCCCAAGGCTCTGAAGGGTACACTTAGGTATTGTAGGTTCTGTCCTGACACCCTTTCCTCCCATTCACAATATTCTTGCAGAACCGCAGAATGTGCCTTGTCTGGAAGGCTTAAAACAAAGCAGATGCTTCAATTTTCCATTCTCCAAATGAAAATCAATGGCAGCAGAGAGGTAAAATCAATGTTCACCAGTCTGTAGTGGCGCTCCCACCCCTATCCCCATCTGCCACTCACCTAGAACAATAAAATCAGAACCAGCCATCCTGACTAGCAGAGAATCCCTGAGAGCAGAGCCCTCTGCAGGTTTCAGGATTATGTACTGCCCTGTACCCTAAGACAGTGGTGGTGAACCTATGGCACACGAAAGGCAGAGGGTATTATCAGTGAAAATTCAAAAAGGTTTGCCATCACTGTTTGCCTAACCGATGTTTTTCTTAAGCAGGGCTCAGAAAATATTTTAAACTTCTGTTCTGTTTTACATCTCTAATGTCCCCTAAAAGCCTCACGTGTTTGGAGGGTGACTGGATCATGGAGAGCTGTACTCATCAAGGAACAATGAAGAGTTTGCAGCTGACTTGCTGTTAGGAGATGGGGCCATTGGGTTGTGACCCAGAAGCGGGTAGACCTGTCCCAGCTCCTTCCTCCTCTCTCCACTTCCTTACAGCCATGAGGTGATCAGCTTTCCTCTGCCATGCTTTTCCATTGTGCCATTCTGCCTTGGAGCCAACTAACCATGGACTGAATCCTCCAAAAACCATGGGCCAAAATGAACCTCTCCTCCTTTAAGTCGTGAGTGTTAGGTATTTTATCCAGCAATTGGAAAAAGCTAACTTACACACTAAGTCAGGAAGAATCACACAGTTCTGTAACAAGAATTCTTCTTCTGCAAACAAACCCATTTACCAGTGGGATCTCTGCATGTAACATCAAAGCTTGACTTCACCATTCCCCAAAGGGTCCTCTTTATTACCCAGCCCAATGGCCAGTGTCATCGTCTTTGTCCCAGGAAACTAGTGATCTGCCTTCTGTCACCACAGATGAGCTTGTGTTCTCTAAACTTTCATGTCAATGGTAATCAATCATACGGTATATACTTTTTTGGGGGGGACTATTTTTTTTCCACTTAAATATTAGATTCATCCATGTTATTAGATGTATCAAAAACCTATTTCTTAATGTTGAATAGTAATCCATTGTAATGGGTACACTGTACTGTTTATCCATTCATCTGCTGAAGCACATTTGGATTATTTCCTACATTTTTTCTGTTGCAAATAAAGCTGGTACAAATATTCACTAGTCCATCTTTATGTGTACAAATGCTTTCATTTATTGTATATTGTGGAATCAAATCTTCTTTGAATGTGTTTTACAAATACTTTTCCCTCTGTGATTTCCCTTTTTATTTATTTTTTAATATTGTTTGTTTGTTTTGATATAGAGTCTCATTTATGTGTTCGGCTGGCCTTAAATTCACCATGCAGCCCATACTGGCCTCAAACTCACAGGTATCCTCCTGCTTCAACCTCCTGAGTGCTGGGATTACAGGCATGTGCCACCCCACCTGGCATTCTTTTTATTTTTATAAAAGTGTCTTTTTAAACTTTAACAGAATCTGATTTGTTGATTCTTTTTTGAGTCAATTATTCATGATTTTTGTGTTCTACTTCAGAAATCTCTCAACCTCATTTTATGTTCATCATTTTGTTTTCTTCTACAAGTTTTATAGTTTTTCCTCTTATATTTAGGTTTATAGTTCATCTAAAGTTAATTTTTATAATATGTTAAATTATCAACATTTACATATATGTTAAGTGTATGGTATGATATCATAGACTACTAATAATAAATATTAATTGAAAAGCACTCAATATAAATTTTATATACAGTATAGTTATTGCTTGTTAACCAAATGATCAAAAATGTGACCAAAATAATAAACAAATATATACCAATATTTTAATTACTGTTTTTAGATAATATTACCACTACTTATTTCCTCTTTCTTTTTGCTATTCTGCCATAATTTTTTTATAAGTATCAACTATCATTATAGCAAAATAGACTGGCACCAGATATGGTGGTACAAGCCGCTAGTCCTAACTGACTGCTCAGGAAGGTGAGGCAGGAGGATCACAAGTTTAAAACCAGCCTGTGAGACTTGACAAGACCTTATTTCAAAATACCAAGCTATAAAGGGCTGGGGATATGGCTTAGTAGTAGAGTTCAATTCACAGTACTGCCTGTAAAAGGGAGGTAGAATACTTTTTAAAAGTCCCTCAAGAAGAACATTCTTGATTGATTCCAGGCTGTCTTCACACTGCTTCCTGTTGCTCAAATGGCCTCTTTGGAGAACAGGAAGGATGAACATACTAACACATGTCCACCTCCTCCCAACTTCACTCAGTACTGCTTAACAACAGAAAGAAGTAAAACAAAAAATTTCCAGAAAACTTCTCCAAAAAGAATGAGTTCAGCTGAAGCCTCTGATGAAAACAAATACAAATACCACCCAATGAAGAAGAATTCCAGCAGAGAAGCCTGGATGCTCTGCTGCCGTTCTTTCTTCCCTTTTCAAAATTGATTTGTCAGCTCCAAAATGCTGCAGTTACAGCTGTGCACACCCAGTGGCTTCTCCACTCACTTGCAAAGAGGCCAGTTTGGCCTACAGATGTTTTACAGAAAGATTACTTCCCTGACTAATGCATAAATCAAGTCGCCAACACGGTCTCCCCTGAAGAGGGACCCCTGAAGTATAACACAGGACAGATGTCTCATCAGGGAAAATGTCTAAGACCCTTAGAAGAGATATGCAGTTGCCTGAATGATTCACCCTTGAGAGAGAAGAGAAGGCTTGGGCCCACAGCCACAGCAAATGCTACAGCCAGGCTTCCTTGGGCCCTCACCTCCCAAACCATGAGAAGCCACCTCAGCTGAAGCTGCTCTTTGGGCTATTTTTCCAATCAATGAACAGGTCCCATTATCAGAAATACAGCAATCTTCTTAGTCCTTACCTGCTGTGCATCACAGAAGGGGCCGCAGAAACGAAGCTGTAATCGGCACACTAAACCTCAAAGACTTATTCTCACAAGAACCACAAAGGCAGCACAATTAGACTAAGGAGGGGACACAGAATCTGTAGAGTGTTAACTTTTTTTTTGCGAGGAACACACAACTTTGTGGACTTCTAGCTGAACTCCCCCGAATGAATCTGATGTTACTAATTATCATCATAACTGTTTAGTAACTGTAACAGAAATAGCTGTTATTTGACATAACACTTACATTACATTACACACCATCACCTTATTGAACTTTCACACAAACACATATACAAAATCTCCCCTGAAGTGCAGTAAATAAACCCATTTAACAGATGATGAAGCACAAATTCATAATTACAAAGCACCTTGCTAGGGCCACATACCCAGGAAGTGGCCAAACATGGGCATTGATCCTACATGGTTCTCACTACCAAATCTACAGTCTGAGCCACTCTAAATTTTGTGCTCACCAGGAGATATGAGAGAGGAGGATTTTGTTTTCCATGTAAGCAAAAAAAGTGATATCAGAAACATGATGTTCCAAGGTAAACACCATATAAATCTGGATGTATCTAAACATCAATGAAGTCCTTGCCTCACAGACTAAAATTAAAACTAAAAATCTCTTGGCTGACATTTCTAGGAAAGCCTTTATTCTGATTTCTAGGAGGACACATGCAATAAACTTTCTATGGTACACACATACATGCACGAGTGCACACACACTAGCCCAGATCACTGAATAACCTAAAGTACTATTCCCAAGTGTGTAGGGTGTTTGCAACAAAAGTGGTCACATTTCCCTCCATCAGAAAAGGCAGAAATCACATGCAGCAGGGGGAATGAGAGAGGGTGTCAGATGATGCGCCTGAGAAAATAGCAATATATGCTCCTAAAAGGCACGGTAATATGGATTACGAGACATTAGGAGCATGGAAGCAGAGAGCCTTTGGGCCTCGGGGTCTTGAAGGATTATCACAGTCAGGTTATCAGATACAACCAGGAGCTAAGTGTCCAGCCTCTGCTTTCCTGGCTATAAGTTTCCTGGATCCTGGAGTCACTAAGGGAGGAGGAAGGCTCCCAATAATGACCAAGAAGGGATTTTCTATTCATCTGCTCAGATGAGGGCTCATAGTCAAGGTGTGGCAGATTCAAAGGCAATTAAAAGTGACACTGTATTAGTCAAGACAACATTTGAAAAGTGAGATTCATGCCGTAGCAAGAATACAGGCACCAAACACTATATAAAATGGCAGTGTAAGCCTTATGCTCTCCCACGCTCAGCATCACCAAGTCAGAGACTGGGTACCCTCAGATCAGCCGACGTCCCAGGTTGCAGCGACAATGTTTCCTGACTTACCTGGGCATCAGGTGCTTGCGGCTGACACAGAGGGCTGTCTGGTAGTCCTGGGTCACACATACTTTGTGAGGGCTGCACTTCACCTTCAGGCAGGGGTCCTTGGATGGATCCAGGGCTGAGGCAACAGGAAAGAAAAAAAAAAAAAGAGTTAAGACCTCCAGGAAAATTTAATTTCTGTTGCTATTCCAATAAACAAATGAGAAACAAATCAACTGTATGTTTGCATTTTGTGCTGTTTTCTGTGAATGGTGGTGGTGACTGGAATGAAAATCCAACCCAGGGGATTTCTGCGTCTGTCACACAGACGTCTTCAGCATCAGAACAGTGATTCCCTTGCGCTTTGAGAGTTTCAGCATTTTCATTTCAGGCAGTAATTGCTTTTAAAAATTCTTTAGACTTACTGGATCCAAATAACTTCTTCAGTTATTTACCTGATGCTGCTTTTTATTATTTTATCCCTGTTTAATTTTACTTATTTCTATCACATGAAAGTCCTTAAGGACAGTAGTTTTTGCTTTGGTTCAATACACACCATCGATATGCATAAATAACCTATTTAAGTTTTTAGAGAACTTCAGGATGTGCAAGACAGTTTTGTGCCACACAGAGTTACAACGTAATAGGGAGAAGAAAAAAGCTTGCACATAAATATTTATTGTGCAAGGCAGAATTAGATAAGAGCCATGACGAGCATATAAAATGATAACAGCTTGAAAGAAAAATAGAGATCAATTTCTAGGGCAAGGATTAGTGAGGCATTAATATGTGAGTTGGATCACAGGGGATGGATAGGATTTTGAAAAAGCAAAGAAAAGGCAAGCCAGGCAAGGAGACCAGCCCAAGCCAACGCAGGGAGGCATGTTTGGGCAATCGTGAGAAATTCAATCAATTAAGCATGGTTTGTGGGTGGGAATAAGGAGAGGAGGTGAGTTAACTCAAACAAGGAACTCCAGCACAGGTCCCCAGAGACAGAAGTTCATACACTGGGATGTTTTCTAGAGTAAGCTGAGCACCCAGCCCCCGGCTAATCAGCACTCTGAGCGCTGAGGGGCACATGCTTATCATTGGCACAGAAGAGGCCCCAGAGAATTCTCTGCAAAGCAAAAGCAATTGTTCCATCTCTCTGCTCCAAGCCCTAAACCCTGTTAGGTTTCATAGCTGCTCTCCATAGCCAGGTGAGGTTCCCCCCACATCATTCCCATACAAACATTTGGTTTAACAAATTGGCGTTCCAAGCAGGGGCAGCAAAACTGCTATAAGAAATGCCATTGTCTACTCCACCACTGGGCTTTCAGCTGTCACACAGCATAAATCACAATTCTTCATTTCCCACCTAGGCCCCAAATCTCTGAACACCATTTTCTTCACATGGCTGCCGAGAATATCTCAAAGGTTCTGTACATAACATTCAAAGGTGTTTCTGCTGCCTGAATGGCTCAGAGCAGCTCCTTCTCTGCAGGAGCTGTGGCAGCTGTAAACAGGACCAAGTCCAAGGCACGTTCTCAGGTCAGTCAGGACAAGGACAACACCATGGCCCTAGTCCCAAGGGAGTAAATCTTGCAGAGCTGATTGCCCAAGGGATATGACCTCATGCCCGAATCTTAGCAGAAAGAAACAGGCTTCGATAAGTGAGAGGCTGCTTTCAGCCCCAGGGCAGGATGCTCACTCCTAGCTCTTAAGTGGAGATCATCCTCTGGAACACAGTGGCACAGAGGCCTGTGTCTGTCCTCCAGTCCTCTAAGCTGGGCATCCCAGGAACATGTAGCAAGAGCCATCTGGTCCCGTGTGGAACTCTCTTAGTCCCTGGGGATGTCAAACTAGGCATGAGAGGCCAGGAGGCTGGTGCAGTCTGCCTGTTGCCTTCTTCTTTGACACCACCACTACCACGCCTAACCCCTGCCTGGGGCTACAGCCCAGCCAGCTTTGACTTACTTCCCAAGATTCCTCCAAAACTGAATCAATACTTAAGAAGGATTACCAGCTGACCACTAAGGACAACTATGGCTGTCCTTTGTACCCTTCCCAAAGTTTCACCCACCACTCACGGATTTCAGGAAACTTGGGAGCAGATAGCCTTGCTAAAGTTACCAACTGAGGCACTTTTCCCAATAGGTGCCATGTGCCCCAATGACTCTGAGATTTCAATTTGAGTGAGTCTCAGAGATGGAGAATAGTAGGGTGGCCTAGCATGATGAATGACAAAATCTGCAGTGCTACCCAGCAAGTTTTAGGGCAGAGCTTGAACCCTTTGCTTCTGCGGCCAACTTCACAAACGTGCCGTGTTCACAGAGCCAGGCAGTTGCCCTGAATGAGAAGAGCAATGTCAAGGGAAGCGATGAGCTCAGCACATAGAGGAGGAAAGAACACAGACTTCAGGGCCTGGGACTCCTAGGACTGAGTCCTGCCCCTGCTTTAGTTCCTTCTTCTATAAAATAGGAGTAACAATAATGCCTGTCATTGCTAGTTGGCTGTCAGGAGCATTACATCAATTAATAACGTAAAGTGCTTACAACAGACTTGGTACGTGTTAAGTACCTTGGATATATTTGTTAGGTTTTTCAGGTTTGCATTTTGTTCCCAGAGTGGATAATAAGCCATCATAATCACAAGAACAATTGTTCACGCCGAGTGCCTCTGACATGCAGGCAGTGAACTAAGCCCTCTAATTGGATTACCACACTTAATCCTCACAAGATCCAAGATGGCTGCTGCTAAAGTGTCCATTTTGCAAACAAGTCTTAAAGAGAAGTTGCTGATGACAGGTGCAGAGGGTCCTGGAAACCTGTTTTGTGTACACAAACTCCTCAGTGTATGCCACCAGCACTGGGATCATCTTGAATGTCTGCTGATCTTGAAAGTAGGCTGTGGGGTGTCGCTTCATTCCAGATATAGAGCTCGGATGTCACTCTGTTCTCAAGATGTCTTCAGAGCAAAATGAAATGTCATGGGAAAAACCAAAGGGGAGCTTCCAGGGCTCTTGGTGCCGCTACTGAGGCTGTGACAGCATGCTCTGCCAGTGCACCCCAGGGCTGCATCTCCAGCCCCAGCCCTGCCCCTAGAGGGTGGAGAGCCCAGTCCTGGACAACTGCACCTCCTGTGCACTCCTTCTGGATGCAGCAAGTCCGCACTGTGTCAATCAACTCGTAACTTGGTCATTTCTGTTTCTGCGGTCTTATTATCCTTCATCCCAGTAGTGGGCAGACTTCTACAGATGACTCTTCTGAGTGCTAGGACTACAGGTGTGCACCAGTACATTTGGCTCCCTCAAGGATAACACTTTTAAAGAGATAAGGATTAAACCAAGGCTTTTTCACCGAGCTACATTCTCCAGCTCTTTTTTATTTTTGTACGTGATTCATTTGTTTTTGTTTTGTTTTGTTTTGTTTGGTACTGGGGATCAAACTCGGGTCTTTGCACTTGTGAGGCAGGTGGTAGAACCACTGAGTTAATTCCCTGGCTCTTTTTTTTTTTTTTTTTTTTTTTTGAGACAGTGTCTTGCTAAGTTGTTCAGGATGGCCTTGAACTTATGATCCTCCTTCCTCAGCCTCTCAGAATGCAGGCATTACAGGCCTTCACACTTGCTATGCTAACATTTTTTATCACACAAACTATATAAATGTACAACCACAAATATTAATAGGAACTGTCAGTTATTTAACTGCGTATACATACTTAACAATTTCCATACAGAAATCAAGTCTGCTAAAACTAATTACTAGGGTCTGAATACTTCAAATATGGATGCAAGTTATTTAGAATAAATGAATGTCACAGAAAAAAATGTAACAAATCAAGGTGCCAAGATTTGTTTAATTACCAAGATTATTTTATTTTTACAAAACAGCAATACTGGGATTGAGGAGTGAGTCATTTCCTTTTAAACTCAGGCCTCCCATACATGCTTTTCCTAGCAGCCACTGGGTTCACACGAAAGGTTCTCAGTACTAGTACTGCACAGGACTGTGCAGCTCCACTTTCTACAGGGAATGATAAGAGATCCCATTAAATAAAAAGTAGCATTTAAGAAACCTTTTAATAAGGTAGGGAAAACTGCTCAGGTGAGAAGATAGGAGCAAGAGATGAGTGTCAGTGACAGCCCTAAGCTGCAGCCTCTCTGTCACGGTGCCAGGGCTTTCATGGACAATGTGCTCCAAGTTTTAATCTCCCTCTCTACATGGCTGGTGACAGGATGAAGCAATCTCCAGAAGAGATTTTAAGTTTTGTTTCACCATACCCAGAGAACTCGTGTGGACCTAAAGAGGACTGTGTGCCTAAGGAGGTACCCCAAAGGTTAATTTTATCTCCCCTGCCCAACTTCACGGAGAAACCAGCAGGTATCAACCAGCACAGGACACACATCCCTAAGTATTTTCTCAAAATAATTTTTACCAAAATTTCTCAAAGAAAGAAAAGGCCATAAATGAATTAATTTAAGGAGAGTTTTGCTGAGCTGCAAAGCAATGAATTTAAAAGCCAGTTAGCCAGGGATTTAGCTCAGTGGATCTGCTGCTTGTCTAACAAGTGCAAGGTCCCAAGTTCGATCCCTGGTACCAAAAACAAAAGAGAAGCGAATTTTATTTTTTAAAAAAGCCAGTTAATTACCAGCTCCATCTAAGTTTATTTTTTAATTAATTTTTATTTTTTAAGCTCACAGCTTGGTCTCATTTAAAGTGCTGATATTTTAATTATCTTAATTGTTTCTGAACTTGTTTCATAGTGCAATGAGTTATTTTTAATTAGCTACAATTGATCTTAAAATCCAGAATCAAGCCCTTTCATTGTCCTTGGGCAAATCCAAAGGTCTAATTGGCAAAGGGTCTTGACATCTGGAACAGCATAGCTTGATGCTACTGGAGAGATGCTGGGGTGAGAGGAAGATTCCATTTGGTGGGTTGACCTGAAAGGCCTCTTAGTCTCTGGGGACATCTGACTCTCCTTCCTCTCTCTCTCTCTCTCTCTCTCTCTCTCTCT